CTCCCACGCAAGCTACTCACCTGCCAGGAGAGGGAGCAGGAAGAGGTTCCCCCCTCCCACACTCCTCCCAGGGATTCCAAAACGACGGAAAATGTTTTTTTCCCTTTGGGCTGGAAGATAGGAAGTGGGTGGGAGGGAAGGGGAGGAGAGGCGAGGGGAGGGGAGGAGAGGGAAGGCCCGCTGTCCTCCAGTCAGACAGCTGTGTGGGTCCTGGGCTGGGGAGGGGGTGCAGCGGCTACTACCTCTGTCTGAGAGGGAAGGAGAGGTAGGAATATGGGGGAGGGTCCTAGATGCCCTCACGTGGCTGGTGGGAGAATTTGGTCCCCCACCGCGTGCTCCCCCGCTGCCGCCGCAGTGGGAGGAGCCCAGCAAGGGGACAGGGAACCTTCCAGGCATCTGGAAGTGTCACCGACCCCAGAGCTCAGCACGGACGGTGGGCACTCGGGGCGCCTGGGCACGGACGGTGGGCGCTCGGGCACCTGGGTACGGGCCTCCCGCACAGCCGAGCAGGTCTCGTCAGCTGCGCTTCACTGGGGGCCCACCTGTCCTTCCCCTCACGCCCTCCCTCCGCCCCAGCAGGAGCTCTGGGCACCCACCCTGGGGACTGAGAGACGAGGAGACTGCTGTCCTCCTAGCAAGGGGGTAAGCGGGCGTCCTTTCTGCACACGCAGACAGATGCACACACACACGTGCACAAACACATGCAGAGGCACACGCACGTGCGCATGAATGCCTAGGCACAGCACTGCGGAGCGGGAGCCTCATTCTACGGTGATTTCCCCCGAGTGCTCTGGGCACTCGTGGGACCCTCCCCTGCCTGGCTTTACCCCGCCCCCTACACTGTCCCTCCTTTGTCTCCTGAGACCTGCGCGCAATCCCCTCCACTTTCTTTGTGCCAACTCCTATCCCCCTTCTGGAACGAGGGCCCTTCCTGAGGAAGCCAGCCGAAGCCAAACACAGGGAGGACTGGATAGGGCTGGGCCGGGCGCTCGGAGAGGAGTTGGGGAGTCAGAGGAGGGGTCCACCCCTCCCACCACCTGCGGCTTGGACTGCGCCCTACCCTCCCATCCGACTCTAGAAGAAGGGCACCCTTCTGGCGCACCAGGCTGGTGGGCCCTTAGGGCGCGTTTCCCACCCCCTTCCCCGCCTCCTTGTCGAGGCTTGAAGTCCTTCCCCGCCCCCTGGTAGCCGCAGTCTCCTTTGGGTGTCCGAGCCCGAGCCTGGAGTCTCAGCACCCAAAGCGAGCCCTGCCCTGAGCATTCTCCACGCGCCCGTTGGTGTTGGCATGTTTGATTCTCAGAACACCCCTCCGCGTTAGGGCGCAGACGGCGCGGGGGCTGCACAGAGCCGAGGTCGGGGCTCAGGGGTCTCGCCCTCTGATGCGGCCGCGTTGAGTCCCTCTGCAGCCGCAGCGTCCGACGCGGGTTTTGCGGCTGTGAGGAAGTCTCAGCCTCCGGAGCCGCGGGTCCAGAGCAGCCGACGCAGTCGGGGGCTGCGCCGGCCTCGGGCCTTCAGGCCGGACACGCTTCCTTCACTCCCCACCCCTGGGTGGCCGCAGCCCGCGCGCCCTGCCACACCTGACCTCAGGTTCCCAAACTGCGGAGCAACAAGGCCAGCTCCCCTGAATTGGTGTCACTGGAGTCGGGCCTGGGGCGAGCGGCACAGTGCCGGCTGTAGCGTCTTGGGAGCTCGGGACCCGCGCCCTGGCGACTCCAAAAGAGGGGCGCGCGCGGGGGTCGTGAAAGTAGGTGGAGAGGCCGGGCGCAGGACTGCCTGACCTGGCATCAGGGTCCAGACCCCTGCGGTTCCACCTCCCGCAAGCCCCTCGCCCCCGGGTGTCAACTTCCTAGATGAGAAATCGAGGCATCAGCAAGCCTGTGTCGCTAGCACCCACGCCAGCCGGGAGTGTGGTGTGAGGCGGCGCCAGGAGCTCCCTCCGCGGCGCCTCTAGAACGCCGGGGCCCAGCAGGCCGAGTTGCCGAAGGAGCAGGAGGAGGAAGGCACAGCCCCCCAGAGCGGTACAGCCCGGCTCCTGGGGCCCAGACCCGGTTCCGCGCACGCGAATCGGAGTGCTGTTTGCTGAGATCGGGCGCGCGGGGCAGCCTGAGAGCCACGAAGATTCAATGGGCTCGGCGGGCGTGGGGATCGATCGGGCACAGCTGTCACCCAAGAGCCCGTGGGGAGGGCGTCCATCCGCGGGTGAGCGCAGCCCCTGGCGCCCTTCGGCCGCGTTTGGGGCACCCAGGACGTGGGACCCGCCAGGAGCGAAACCCCACGTCGCGGCAAGCGGAGTCGGGTGCTCGGGAAGTCCTTGCGCCCCTGGGCGTAGAGGGGACTCCTTGGTTGGCGCGCGGCCCAGCGGGGACTCCCGCGCGGGCAGGGAACTCAGCCCCTCTCTTCCCGCGCCTGTTCAACTCCCTTTACCCCGCCCGAACGAAGGCGGCAGGGCTAAGGGGCGCGGGACTCGCAGCTGGGGTTTAGAATGGGGTCAAAAGGATGGGTTGGGAACAAGACTTGAAGGGTACTGGGGGTGGGGCGCGAATGGCCCGCGCTTACGAATATCTCGCTCTCCTGAAGAAAAAGGGTCCCGCCGGGCAAGGGACCTGCATTTGGGCAGGGGCGATTAGAAAAGAACCGAACCCAAGAAAGTGCCAGTGGGAGCCCTGGGTGGAAAGCTCCTCTCTTCCTGGTGCCTGCAGCCCTGCCAGGGAACCACCCCGAACCGCAGAAGGAGCTGCAAGGCCCAGGAGCCCGGGAGCTTAGAAGGACTGAACATGACGGGCGCCCTGTAGCTGGCTCCCCTGGAGCGGAGGCATGGGCACTGGAGGCGCCTACTCCCGGTGGGGACAGAGACCCCCACGCTCCAGAGAAGAGGCCGAGATCCCAGGGGTCTCTCTCCAGCCTCGGCCAACCCCTCCCCCGTCGCAATTTGCCTAATGACCCAGGTCGATGGAGGCCCGCTCTGCCAGCCTGCCCCGTGGCCGCTGCTTCTATTTCACTAATTACTAGAAGGCAGAGGGGCCCGTGGGAGGGGGGTGTCCACCACTTCCTCCCTCCTCACCCAGCAAATCTGTGCCCAACCTCCTGGTGGGAGTGATCCCCCCCAGATCCCCTAGTTCTGAGTTGCCCAGCCTCCTGGTGAAAGTGACATCCTGCGGCCAAGGGGTGGCCCCCTAACCCCTTAGCCTGGACTGAGGGAGTAGGAGCCCAGAGGCCAGGAAGGGGTCTGTCACCATTCCAGAGAGGGAGCCCCGCGTCTCCATTTCCCCTTCATAAGGGTCGCCTGGCCTCTCCCAGGGGCTTCAGACCACAGCCTGCACTGTCCCAGTCCCCACCCCCCAGCACGGGCTCCTGTCTCTGGGAAGGGAGGTCAGACTCCGCCTGGATCCCCAGCCTCCCCACCCCCCCACCAGAGGTCTCCTCCAGGCCCGAAGCTGTCGGCTTAGGGCGGTTGATTGATTTCTAGATTCTACGATTATTTTTAATTATCTGTGACTGTTGCAGGGTGAGATGGTGGGGGGGGGGGGGCGCAGGCTTGTGAAGTCACACTGCCCGCCCCCCCAACCTAAGGACCTGCACCAGAGTGGACAGTCCTTTGTCCAGACCCAGCCCTCATTCTCCTCCACCTGGAAGATCCTGGGCAGAGACCTGGAACTGGGCTGCTCAGGGACCTGGACGTGCGGGAGGTGGGGACAGAGGACCCAGAGGGCACCCTTGGAAGGCACCGCCAGCCTCCAACAGAGGGAGTGTCTGTCTAGTATACAGTGGGTGCTTACTAAATCACCAAGTACAAAGAGAGACCCCACCGGATACCCTCGGCCAGCCCAGGGTCGAAGGCATAGTTGTTGCACCACAGAGGGGAAACTGAGGCACAGGGAGTCCTGCCCCCTCCCCATGCCAACATTTCCAACGAGAATCTGTGCTCTCCTCATAGCGACATGGACAAGGCGCAGCAGTCCTCTTGATGGCTGAAAATCCTGTGGGAAGGGGCTCAGGGGCGTGGCTCCCTGCTGCAACCCTGTGTCCTCCACAAGAGACCCCCAGTAAGCACCTTCACCCCCACTTACTACCCTAGGAAACGGTGGGCTTGTGGGAGGGGGCGGAGGGGCTTGAGGTTTGCAGTCCCACTGTCCTGTAGGGAGCCCCTGTAGGGCCTGGCTGGCCACCTGGGCCTACACCCCAACCCAGGCCTCTCCCCACTTGGAGGGGTTAGTCCCACTTCCACGCAGTCCAGATGTTGAGGAGCAGGGAGTACCTGCCCCCTCCGTGAACCCCAGGAACCCCTGGGAAAGTAGAGGCTCCCGTCCCACGCCTGCCGCAGGGCCTGGGGGCGCTGTTCCAGCTGTCCAAGGCTGGACCGTTCTCCCCGGGACGCTGGCTGGATCCTGCCACTGGAGGGGCCTTTGAGCACCCTCTGAAGCCAGGGGTTCTACTGTTATTTGGGGAACCTGTGGCTGGGTGTGCCCCCATGGAAGCTGCCCTCTCCTCCGGAGTAAATTCCCGGCCCTGGCCCTTGCCGCCGCCTCCTTCTCTAGGAGGTTTGGAGGGCGGGCGGGTGCAAGGTGTTGGGGGGGACACACATGACTGCTTCGCGTCCCCGTCATTGCGGCAAGGTACTCCCCGAGGGGTGGCAAGAGCCAGTGGGCCCCTCGGGAGGGGAATCCTAGAGCAGGCATGGGGGTTCCCAGCGCGCTCGCAGACACTGCACAGAGGCTGTCCCGCTCCCCCGAACCCCGACTCCACTCTGGCCAGCCTGGCGCTTGAGGGGGCCGGGCCGGGCGGGCAGCTCGGCGGCGGCGGCGGCGGGAGCAGGTGGGCGGGGGCGCTGACGTCAGACCCGGGCCCGGGAGCCCGCGGCCGCTCCCCCGCCACATCCTGGTGGCCGCGCTCGCAGCCGGGCCGGGCCGAGCGCCGCGCAGCCACCGGAGGAGCGGGCGGGGAGCATGCGGCGGCCCTGAGCGCGCCGGGCCGGCGCCGAGGAGCGCGCGCGGCGGGCGGGCATGGAGCTGAGCCTGGAGAGCCTGGGGGGCCTGCACGGCGTGGCCCACGCGCAGGCGGGCGAGCTGCTGAGCCCCGGCCACGCGCGCTCGGCGGCGGCGCAGCACCGCGGCCTGGTGGCGCCGGGGCGTCCGGGCCTGGTGGCGGGCATGGCGAGCCTGCTGGACGGCGGCGGCGGCGGTGGGGGCGGCGCCGGGGGAGCCGGAGCTGCGGGCGGCGCGGGTAGCGGCGCCGACTTCCGCGGGGAGCTAGCCGGTCCGCTGCACCCGGCCATGGGCATGGCCTGCGAGGCGCCGGGGTTGGGCGGCACTTACACGACGCTGACGCCCCTGCAGCACCTGCCACCGCTCGCCGCCGTGGCCGACAAGTTCCACCAGCACGCGGCGGCCGCGGCCGTGGCCGGAGCGCACGGCGGCCACCCCCACGCGCACCCGGCGGCCGCACCGCCCCCTCCACCCCCGCCGCAGCGCCTGGCGGCCAGCGTGAGCGGCAGCTTCACCTTGATGCGCGACGAGCGCGCGGCGCTCGCCTCCGTAAGCCACCTCTACGGTCCCTACGGCAAGGAGCTGCCCGCCATGGGGTCGCCGCTGTCGCCGCTGCCCAACGCGCTGCCACCGGCGCTGCACGGCGCCCCGCAGCCGCCGCCCCCGCCCCCGCCGCCCCCGCCGCTGGCCGCCTACGGCGCACCTGGCCACCTGGCTGGGGACAAGCTGCTGCCGCCCGGCGCCTTCGAGCCGCACGCCGCACTCCTGGGGCGCGCCGAGGACGCGCTGGCCCGCGGGCTGCCCGGAGGGGGCGGCGGCGCAGGCGGCGCGAGCGGCGGAGGCGCAGCAGGGCTGCTGGCGCCCCTGGGCGGGCTGGCTGCGGCCGGGGCTCACGGGCCACACGCGGGCGGTGGCGGTGGTCCGGGCAGCGGCAGCAACGGCGGCGGCCCGGGCGCGGGCGCGGCGGCCGAGGAGATTAATACCAAGGAAGTGGCTCAGCGCATCACGGCCGAGCTGAAGCGCTATAGTATCCCGCAGGCCATCTTCGCGCAGCGCATCCTGTGCCGCTCGCAGGGCACCCTCTCCGACCTGCTGCGCAACCCCAAGCCCTGGAGCAAGCTCAAGTCGGGCCGAGAGACCTTCCGCAGGATGTGGAAGTGGCTGCAGGAGCCTGAGTTCCAGCGCATGTCGGCGCTACGCCTTGCAGGTAGGACCCCGGGTACGCCGGCTCACGCTGCCCACTCCCCACTCCCCGCCTGGCGCTCTGGCGCTCGGAGATCCCTCGCAGGAGGCCACCCTGCCGTCTGCGTCCCTGCCTTTGTGCCATCCCAGAGAGAGAGAAAAGAGAGAGAAAAGAGAGAGATTGGGCCGCACTCCAGCCTCCCACATCGCTGCCACTGCCCCTCCGCGAAGGAGCTAGGGTCCCCCGTGCCTGGCAGACTCTTGGGGTATCTTATTGTGTGTGTGCGCGCGCGCTGGCGCTGTGTCCCCGAATGCACCGTTGCAGTCAACCCCAGGTGCCACTGGAGAGTAAGCCCCCCCACCCCGGAGCCTGCGGATCTGGGCCCCGCGGAGCGCTCGGACGGTGCTCCGGCCGCCGGCGCCGCAGCTGCCCAAGCCCAGCGGCTCTCAGCCCCGGCCGCTTCTTTGTAGCTCGGCTCCTGCGATCGATAACCCCCTCCTCCGCTCTGGCCGCTGGCAAAGGTCACCGGCGAGCGGGAGGGGGAAGGGCGGCCAGCCCCTGGACCCCTCAGCTCTGCTGGGGTTCAGCGCCCCCTCCGCGCCGGCCGCCGGTCTCTATTCTGTTCTCCTCTCGGGCCTCCTCGCTTTCTCTGTATCTCTCTGTCTCTCTCCTTCTCCCCCATCCCCTTATCCTCAGGCACCGACCCCTTGGGGACTCCTGCTGCCCCCTATCTCCCAGCTGACAACAGCTGGGTCTGTACCTGCCTCCTGCGCGCCTGGGGGGAGGCCCTCATCTCCTGGGAGGCTGTAGGGGTGCAGGCCAGGGTGGAGGGGCCAAGGAGGCGGCGTGTACCCCGACCACAGGGACAATAGCAGGCTGAGCGCTGGGCAATCGATGGCGTCTCTCACACTCGGCCTGCAGAAGCCGGTCAGGCAGGGGCTCCACGCAGGCCAGCGGATAGGCACAGTCGGGGGGGGGCGTTCCCTGTGCCACCTGTCCCCAAGCCAGCCCTGGGCAGCAGCACCCCAGACTGCCTCAGTTTCCCCTCTCTGCAAAATGAGGATGACTGGTGGGAGGCAACAATAGTCGTCTGGGATCTGCTCTTTGCAGGGGAAGAAATGCAGGGACTTCGTGTGTGGCAGGGGTATGTGGGGACGAGCCAGACCCGCTCTGCCCAGACCTGGACGGAAGGGGAGGGCCAGAAAATGTCCCCTGTGCTATGGACCCTGTGCCCCCAGTCAAGGTAGAGGGGCTGCACTCACTGGGCAGCGGCCGGTGGAGCCAGCAGCTGTCAGCCCCGTGTGGCCCGTGGGGAACCCGAGGCCACCTGTGCACCCAGGGTAGCCGCGGCAGGCATTGGTCATGGCCTGGCTACTTCGAGGAACAAGGTGGGGGTGTTGGGGGAACCCGGAACCAGCGAGCCAGCCCCTACCCACGGGCCCCGCGGGTCCTGCGGGCCGCCGGGGCGGCGTAGGTGGTGGCCCAGGGCGGGCTAATTAGGCACCCGGAGGCCTTTAGTTCCGCTCGCTGCGCAAATGAGAAGCGGTTAAGTGGCGGCAAATCGCCGCGGTTAGGGGAGGCGGGGGCGCGTCCCCCCCTCTGCGGCTCGGCCGCAGTCCCCAGGATCAATCCCACAAGGCCGGGTAGGTTACCGGGTCCTCTCCAGGGCCCTCTTGGGACCCCATCCCGGGCACAGCGAAATCTGGGGCTTCCTCAAAGCAGGAAAATGACTTACTGTCCCCAGTCCCCAGCCCATCCCACACACAGGAGAGTGACAGAAAATGGGAGGGGAGAGAGACCCTGGCCTGCTTTTCCCCCCATCCCTTCCCGACCACCTTCTTCCCTCTAGGACTGTGAGAAATGCGGCTGCAGGGCCTCAGGGACCCGGCCCCATTGCGTGCCTCAGTTTACCCATCTGTAAAATGTGTCCATCAGGGAGGGTGAGCCTGTGCTGCAGCCCCCACCCCCAGGGCCGTCCCCTCCTCCCTCAGCGTCCACCGGTAATTATGGGTGAGGGGCTGGGGAGGCAGGGACCTGCGCCTTGGCGGGGGTGGGGCGGTCGATGCCTTCGAATTACCGTCTCTAATTCATCACCGTGGCCGGGTCGATAGCTCCAGCCGTCTTCAAATATTGTTTAAATTGCAACTGCAGAAGAAAAAAAAGTATTTTTCCTATCTGATCAGAAAAAAATATATATGTATATGAAAATAAAATGTCAGACAGAGGCAGGCAGGCCACTCCGCACCCCCCACCCCCAGAAGTCCTGGGTGAGCTGAGTGGAAGCCCAGAGACCCTAAGGGACAGTGGAGACCAGTGGGGGACATTGAGGCAGGTGGCCACACCACATAACACGCAGTGTCAAAGCCAAGACAGACGCCACTGGACGCCGATTCAGTGGCCTGGGGCTCAGCAGGGACACCCCGTCCCAGCCCCTTTGAAAAGTGGGGAGAGCTGGGGGGCTCCAGGGATGAGGGTCTGAGGGCTGGGCATCCCAAGGTAACCAGGGTGAGGAGGGTGGGCACTGGGAGCTGCCCCTGGGAGCCCCTCAGGGTTTGCACTGCCTGGGGAGCCCTTAGAAGTGGGGTGCATGGGGCCAGATGCACATTGGGTACCTCTTTCCCGCCCCACCGGTGTCCCTAAAGATAACTCAGCCTCCAGGGGTGCTGCTCCCCAGCTGCCTGCAGAGCTAAAGTCTGACAACCAGCCGCAGAGTGGAGGGACCCCAGTGGGCAGTGCCCCAGCCCAGGCCTCGAGCGCCTGGGCTGAAAACAAAAGCTGGAGCCCCTAGCCGGCTGCCGCCGCAGGGAAGCCAGATTTTAATTAAATATGGACCCGGATCAATATAGCCTGCAGCACCCCAGGAGGGGAGGAGAGGGGCAACCCCTCCTCCCACAGCCTCAGTTTCCCCCTGTGCCAAGTAGTACCTGGAGGGGACCATCCACCACCCAGGCGGGGAACAGGATCGGGGCGCCTCCCTGCTTCATCCCACCTTTTTTTTTTTTTTTTTTTTTTAATTTTTTGCCTCAGTCCTGTCAAAATATAACATTAGATGCTATGTGGCCGATTTCTTAGAACAAGGCATGTTTACCTCCTCGGCTGTCACACACACACACACACACACAGCCCCGGGCCACATGTATGTATTTTATTGACTTGCTTTTGTACAGCTTCATTGCCGGACGTGCAAAGGGGAGCTGGGGTGACAGGGTCCCGCCGGTGGGACGGTCCTCAGCCCCAAGATGGCGGTGGCGCCTTCCTGTCCGCCATGCCCACAGCATCGGGTCTCCCTGGAGTGGCTGTGGGGCGCTGGGTGGGAAGTGGAGCGGCCGCAGCTCCCACCATGGTGCAGGGGGTGGGGGCCTAGCCGAGCCGCACCCCATCCTGCCCCATCCCTCCCTGAGGGGCGGCCAGCAGGTGTGCGCGCTTCTCCTTGTTTTAGTCAAAAACATCTCTGGAAGAATGGGTGATGGGGCCCCAGGGTGCAGGGTCTCCAGGAGGACTTGGACCATTCTCCATTCCTTTTCCAAGACTCAAGAGCAGGGAGTGGGATCAGAAGTGAAGCAGCCGGGATTCGAACCGGCGTCCAAATGGGATCCTGGCATTGCAGTTGGCAGCTTTGCCTACAGCGCCGCTCCCCTTTTTATTTTTTCTAAGCATCGAGGAGGATCGGCGGGTTCTCTGTGTGGCCACCAGCACCTCCTCCACCCCCCCCCCTCACAGTTGCGGCCAGCTGGGGTGGCTGTCACTGCCACCCCTTGCACCTGCCCTCACCCCTGTTTCCAGGCTGGCTGCTCTCCTCTGACTATCACTGGTCCCTTTGCTGTCATCTTTTTCAAATAGGTTTCCAAACGCTGCCTGCTGCCTGCTTAATGTCTTTTTAAAGAGCCAGGCGGTGTGGGGGCACCTGCAGGTGCACGCGTGTGCCAGATCTGCCCCAGGACACCCCCCATCCCTCCAGGTGGAGCCCTGTGTCCAGGTGGAAAGCCTGGAGTTTGTGCTCTGGTTGATAAGCGTTTGAAAGACGCAGAACTAATTTGAAAATGCGGCCATTAAAATCCCATCAGGGGAACTGGGCTGGCCAGCCAGCCGGGAGGGAGGCGGCACCTCACTCGGGTTGGGCGCCGGCCCAGGTGAGCTGGGGACAGAGCAGGAAGAGGGAGGGAGGGGCAGGGCAGGTGCTGGCTCTGGGGGTGCTCAGAGGCAGGCGAGGGGGTTGCTGAGCAGGGGCTTGGCTTAGCACCCCTGGGCAATTCCTGCAGAGGTGGGGAGTGGGTGCGGAGGGGTGGGGTAGGTTGACCAACAGGACATTTAGAGGCGGGCAGGGGACAGTGCGCCGTCCCCCCACCACTGGGCCGGCAGCTGGTGGCAGGGCAGGACATGTTACCAAGGTAACCCGCCATCATCCCAGCCGGAGACCAGACTGTGTATTGGATCCCGGGACTTGGGGTAGCTAGAGGGAGGGGCTGTGGGTGGGCGCTGCTGCTCCCTGCACTGCCCCCCCACCCCCGTGCTCTGGGGCCGGACACCGAGGGTACTGTACAATGTCCTTCCACCCCTGCTGGCTGCAGCTGGCAGCCCTCCTCCAACCGTCTGCCACACACCTGGCCCCCAGTTCCCTAGCCGAGGTGTGTCCCCACCTGAACTGAAGCCCCCCTCCCTTGGGGAGTCCCTGAAGTGCTGGGAGTGGCATTTGGGGAGGGGTGGTGGGGACGTGGGTGGCACAGTCTATCGCCACACTGGTGCCGGTGAAAGCCAGGAAGGAGCTCTCCATTCCCCCCCAGTTTTGGCCAGTGCCCCCACTGCTTGCCAGGGGCGGGTGGGGGAGGGCGTGTCGTAGAATGCTGCTGATGAACAAGTGCCTGGAGCCTGGTCTGCGTGTGACACTGAGACACAGGGGCCCCGTGCTCATGCTCCCGCCCGAGCCTCCCCACACGTGCAGTGCTGCCATGGAGGAAATCCCTTCTAGGAGGGCTTGAGGAGGAGTGGAGAGGGCCAGCTGTGAGACCCTGACCTCCTCGCCCCTCCAGCCAGGAGTCAGAGCTGTGTGTGTGGGGTGCTCGCTGCCTCCCCTCGGGAACCCAGTGCTGGGGTACAGAGCAGGGACAGTGGTTGGGTCCCAGGGAGGGAGGGAGGCACTGCGGTGCCACAGTGAAAGCCTGTGGGGCAGGTACAGGTAGGTGCCAGTGTCCCTAGACGATTCAACCTGGCTACACCCACTGTGGCCCCCCGCCCCTGGCCTCTGAGGCCAGAGAGCGATGCTGCCGTCTGCTGGATGCAGCTGGAAGTGTGGAGTGGCCGCAGTGGGCAGTTCCAGGACTTGCTGGCAGGAAGCCGGCCCTGCCCATTCAGAGTTGGGGATGGAATCCCAGTCTCTCCCTGCAGCCGGCCTCAAGGGATTGGCCCCAGATTGTCCTCGCCTCTGGGCTCCAAGGAGACAGAGGGAGCAGCCCCTGCAGAGGCCAGAGGTGGAGGTGATGGGGAGGGGCCTGGCCTGGAAAATGCTGGAAGCAGACACGACCCCTGTATGTGCCTTGAACACTAGAGTATGCAAGGCTTGCCTGGGAGCCGGCAGGGAACCTGGTGAAGGAGTGAGGGCTGAAGGCCCCGTGCAGGATCGTGGGTTAGGGGCAAGGTGGATGCAGACAGCTGGGGTGGGAGAGGCGACCCTGCTGACCCTGCTGACGGTGGGAATCATACAAAGGGTCACCAGGCCAGAGGTGAGGCAGGGGTGGTGGATGTGTATCAGGAGGAGGTGATGGGAGAGGAGGTGGTAGGAGAGGAGGTGATGGAGGGGGAGGAGGTGTGGAGGAGGTGATGAGGAGGAAGTGATGGAGAAGGAGGTGATGGAGGAGGTGATGATGAAGAGGTGATAATGAGGTGATGGAGGGGGAGGTGATGGGGAAGGAGGTGATGGAAGGGGAGGTGATGGGGAAGGAGGTGATGGAGGGGGAGGTGATGGGGAAGGAGGTGATGGAGGAGAAGGTGGTGGAGGAGGTGATGGGGAAGAGGTGGTGGAGGAGGTGATAGGGGACGAGGTGGTGGGGAAGGAGGTGATGGGGGAGATAATTGGGACGTGATGCCCACCTGACCACTTTCCGGGTTCCCCGAGATGCTGCATTCCTCCCTCTGTGGGGCTCCTACACCCACCCCATCTGTGCCTCTGACCCTGCCGGCCTCCCCTCCATTTTCACCTCCTCTAAGGAGCCTCTGTGAGTGGGGGGCGGCGCTGGCACCCGGCTGGGGGAGGGCAGTGCCACGGGGGCGTGTCCAGCCTGCCCGTGGGGGAGGGGAGCGCCAACCGAGGCCACCAGCGGTAAAACAGCTCGGCCTGCGCTGCTGGATCGATCGGCTGGCCTGAGGAGCTGTAATTAGATTGAACGCCGGGAAAGGGGCGGCCCGGTCTCTTTCTGCTGTGCTCGACAAAACGTGAAGTTTTCCACTGCTCGGCCCGGCCCCTCCCCCAGCTTCTGCCTGAGGGACTCCCCCCCCCAGGCACCTGCTCGGAGACACGGGGATGGGAGGGCAGGGTGAATGGGCCAGTGTCCACCCTGTCCTGCCTACACCACTCTTTGAGTAAGGGAAAGGACACAAATTCCCTATCCTAGGAGCCCACCAGTGAGATGGGGGGCACCTGCCAGGCCATGGACACCTGGTCCTTGCGAGTGCTGCTGGGTCGCGGCTGCAACATCTGGGGCTGGGCCAGCCCGAAGCCAGGAGCTCCATCTGAGTCTCCCACGTGGGTGCAGGGGCTGAGCACCCCAGGTGCACCGGCAGGGAGCTGGATGGGAAGCGGAGCAGACAGGACTGGAGCCCTAGCCATCATTCTGTTGAATGGATCCATGGGAAGCTATGGGTTCCTAGCCAGTGGGGAGGAGGGAGTGGCCGCCGACCCCTGTGGCAGACCCTGCTTCGTGTGCACGCCTGCGTGTCTGCGGGTAGTGGCTCCCCAAAGGCTGGCAGCATGGGTGCGCCCAAGGTCACCCATGGGGTGACAGTGCCACAGGGTGTGTGTGGAGGGAGGGGGACAGAGGCACACCTGGGACTGTTACAAGGAAGGGAAATTGAGGTTGTTGTTGGGGACGCAGCCCCGGGATCCCTGGGCAGGGAGCAGGAGAGGGACTGGGACCCAGCGCCCCCTCCATCCCCGGGGAGCCTATCCTGGGGCCCTGGGTGGCGACTTCCTGGGGCATGGGCGCGGTGGTGGTGACGGGGCAGGCGCTGACCTTGGCCCCTCGCCTCCCGCCGCGCCCCGCGCCTGCCCCGCAGCCTGCAAGCGCAAAGAGCAGGAGCAGCAGAAGGAGCGCGCGCTGCAGCCCAAGAAGCAGCGGTTGGTGTTCACCGACCTGCAGCGGCGCACGCTGATCGCCATCTTCAAGGAGAACAAGCGGCCGTCCAAAGAAATGCAGCTCACCATCTCGCAGCAGCTCGGCCTGGAGCTCAACACCGTGAGCAACTTCTTCATGAACGCGCGGCGCCGCTGCGTCAACCGCTGGGCCGACGAGCCGGGCGCGACGTCCGCAGGCCCCGCCGCTGCCGCCGCTGCCACCTTCTCCAAGGCCTGAGCCCCGGGGCGGGGGCGGCCTGGGCCCAGCGCACAAACGGCCCCTGCCCCTCCAGGCCAAAGGAAGCCCTGCGACCCCACACTCCCTTATCCCCACACCCCCTTGCCCTGAAGGGAGCGGACGGCAGGGAGAGGCCCCCTCCGTCCCCCCCTAACCTCCATTCCGGACTCCCCAGGACTTCCTGGGGTGTCCCCAGCCCCCCATCCCCAAGGCGGGTTGACAAGCACATTTAAGACCAGGAACGGGGTCACCGCAGCAGGATTTTAAAGAATCCCTCGCCCCCCGCCCCATCCCGCAAAACGCCCAGGCCCAGGCCGCGCTGGGACCCCACGAGCGTCCGCGACGCCCTCCCGCCCCTAGCGACTCCGCGTGCCAAGATTCGCCGTCGCCTGCCTTAACGCCTGCGGCGGCGACGGCGAGAGCGGCCCCCGGCCTCGCCTCCTTCCCTCCCTCCCTGTAGGCACCTTGAAGGCCGGCGAGCAGCCCGGGAGATGCCCACCCGCGCCCGGGATCCCTGGTGGAGCGCCACGGAGCCGACCTGGTGGAGCAGAGCCGGAAGGTGGGGTCCGCCTGCGCCCATTTTTTTTTGCCAAAAAAAAGAAAAAGAAACCCAAAGACAAAAAACAATTGTGCGAGGGGATAGGGGTCTTGGAGAAGACGAGCCCTCCGTGGCTTCCGGCGACCCCGCAGGACCACCCGGCCACGCAGCTGGACCGACCCCGACCCTCCCCGGAGAGCGGAGCGCGCCGCCGCCGGCTAGGTTAGGCTACCTCAGTAACGTTCACATTTGTGATTGGAAAAATCACGCCGATACCAAAGATCCCCTCCCCCAAGGACCTGACTGGATTCTGGGGTTCCCTGCCTCCTGCCCCTCCGGAGAGAGAGAGATTGAGCGCGCGAGCGAGCGAGAGAGAGAGAGAGCGCGAGCGAGGGAGCGAGCGAGCGAGCAGTGAGGTCGATGAGTGCCTTTCTCCTGAACCAAAGAAGTGTGTGGAATGTTCTCTTGTCCTTATCCACTCGCTGTGCTCCAGCTTTGAGAAACCCGATCTGAGTGATGCTTCTAGAACCTTCTGGGAGTTGGGGCAGGATCCTCCGAGTGTAGAATCCCTGTTCCCGCTCTGCCACCAAACCCCCAGTCCGTGTGCGCGCGCGCGCGCGCATGCACCTGTTAATACCCTCCTTCCCGCCCACTTGGCAAGCCGCCCCAGGAAGAACCCGCGTTTAATCCGCGCGGTGCGCACGGGTGAGTGCGCCCACCGCCTGCCGCGCCCGGGGTTTCTTCTCTTTCCCACAGGAAGGGGCGCCGGGTCCCCCCACTTTGTTCCGGCACTGCCACCGCCAGCCCCCTCGGGCGTCCCCGGCGCCCTCTGCTGGGCTAAAGGTGGCTTAGGACCTTGTAAGTCACCGAGAAGTGACAAGCAGCTCACTGCCACCCAAGCGCCCTACCCGTATGCACCCCGCTGCCACCCAAGCGCCCTACCCGTATGCACCCCGCGCACGTGTGTGTGTGTGTGCACGCCACGTACCCACACACGCCTGTACTCACATGCACGCACCTGCCCCAGCCGCCCCTTCCCCCTCTGCCCCGGGTCCCCCCACCCCGATCCACGCAGGGAACCCCACCTCCAGCACAATCCCTTTGAGCCTTTGACAATTTTTCTCTGAAATACCTCAAGATATCTAATGTATAGTTTATGTGACGAAGGAGAGAAGTCCTTAGCTAGTTTTTGGAAATAACGTGACTTGAAGCTTTATACTGTCAGATGATAATTTTTTTGCAGGCGACCGCATGTGGGTTCTCTGACGAGTCCGTGGGAGACGTCGTGAATGTCGGGGCTGGGGTCCGGCGGGGGGCAGGGTACAGCTTTCCGCCTCCAGCTTGTTGTGTCTCTTGTTTTTTTCGAGTCTTATGAGAGTATTTATGATTCTATGTGTTCTGCGTTCCGATGTAATTTAAAGAGAGAAAAAAAAAAGGGTGGGTGAGGGTAAAAAAAAAAATGTAAAAAAAAAAGAAGAAAAAAAAAAAAGGATTTGATTCGCTGCATGGCTGACGGGCTCCGTGATGCTGTGTGGGGGTGGGGGGGCGGGCGGGGGGCGGCCCCGGGTCCGTGTCGCATCCGTGTGTGTCATGCGCAGTCCGTGCTGTCCTCCCCACTCATCGCCCCACGTCCCGCGGTCGCGACACCTGCTCCGTGTCCGTGGGCAGCAGGTGGGGTAGGTCGGGGAGGGCCACCTCCAGTCCCTCCCTGGCCCGGCGGGGAGCCCCACATGACTGGGTCAGAGACGTCCCTCCTATCCCGGACAATCAGTCAGGGTCAGTTCTGTCGCCCATCCCTCCCCCATCGTCCACCTGGGGACCCCCTCCCACCTCCAGCCTGGAACCCCCTTATCCAGAGGGGGAGCGCGGCGCAGGAGTGGGGTGCGTGGGGGGGGCTGGAAGGCGGCCGGCCCGCGGGGTGCTCCGGACACCCCTCCTCCCCGCCGCGACCCCGGGCGACAGACTCAAGAAGTCAAAAAGAAAAAAAACAAAAATCACCCCCATTGTTGCCCATCGCTGTGCTGGGTCTGTGGTTGTTTCTTTTTTGGTTTTGTTTTCTTCAATAAATTATTTTCTAGTCACTCCCTCCGCGTGGCGTGTGTGCGTGCGCGCGTGGGAAAGCGGGGGAGCCGCGTGCTCCCCGCCCCCTCCCCAGGGGTTCCCCAACCGCGTCGCCGTCGCTTCGTGTCCCCCGGCGGCTTGTCTGGGCTGGAAGTGGTTTGGCTCAGGGGGCGCACCCAGTGAAGCAATGGACTGCGCGCTCCCCGTGGGTGGGTGCACGGCCAGGGCTGGGCCTGAGTGCCTGGATGGCGTCCGCCCACAGGTGGGTGCACGTCCCCTGGCTAGGCAAGAGGCCCCCCGCGGGTGGGTGCGAGTCCCCGGGCTAGGCAAGGGAGCCCCCGGCGGGTGGGTGTGCGTCCCCGGGCTGGTCGTCTCCCACAGGTGAGTGTGTGTGCCCGGGCCAACCCTGGGCACCTCGAGTCCCCGTGGGTGGGTGCGCGTCCCTGTCAATCCGGGGCGCAGTGCTCCGGGGACGCTGCGGGCGGCGAGGGGAGCGGCGCACGCGCGTCCGGAAGCAGCGCAGTGTCAGGCCGAGCCGGGTTTATTGGAGAACGGGAAGGATTCTTTTCCGTGGTCACCGGGCGACGGCCTCGGGTCGTCCGGCTGCTCCTCGGCCGGCAGGGGCACCGGCAGCCACTCCATGGGCGACGGCTCCACCTCCACGGGCCACGGCTCCACCTCCATGGGCCACTGCTCCACCTCCATGGGCTGCTCGGCCGCCGGGGCCTCGCCGAGGCCGGCGGGCAGCGAGGCGCGGGCAGCAGAGGCGGTGGGCGGCGCGTCCTCCCTGTCCGGGTGGGCGTCCCGCGGCCACGCGTGCGGCCAGCTCCTCCAGAACTGAAGGGGGATCCTCCACAGGGAGGACCCGTAGTCGAGCAACCCCTGCTCGCTCTCGACCTGCTGCTGTTCCTCCTTCTCCTCCGGGAGCTGGGACTCGCTCTCCGGGGCGAGCTCCAGGACCTGCGGCAGGGACACAGGCGCCTCCTCGGGCACGGGCGGCGTCTGCGATTGCCTGCGGGGCGACATGGTCCTCCGCTCCCGCGTCCTGGGGCCCCAGACCTGCTGTGGCCCTGGAGCTTCGTCCGAGGACGCCGCGGCCGCATCCTGGAAGGACGGCGTCAAGTCCGGGGACGGGATGGCCGCCTCCACCGACGGCCTCTTGTCCCCGAGGGACATCCTCTTGGGAGTCCGGGGAGCTTCGGGCGGTGCCTCGTCCTGGGGTTCGCCCACGGACTCGTAGGTCACCTCGGGGTTGGCGCCTGGCGCACGGCGCAGGCTGGTTCCTTGAGTGATGAGGTTGGCGTAGCCCTCGCGGTGCGAGAAGGCATAGCTGGAGCGCCTCCTTCTAGACTCCCGGCGTAGCTGGGGCATGGGCTCCATGGCCAGGATGTCCTCGCCCAGGGCCACCTCCTCCTCCTGTGGGGGCACACACGACTCATCGGGGTCAGCCGCCCCTTCCTCTTCCCATAGGGCGCCAAGCTGGTTCCCATCAAGCCCATCAGATTCGGCCAATCAGAGTCCTTCTCTGGGACCCTTGGACGGAGGCCAGGAGCCCAGAGCCTGGACACACACGCACAGCCCACCCCCTCCCCCGTGTCCAACCTGTGTGGGTTGGGGGAGGAAGAGTACCACCCACCATGCTGCCCCCAGCCCACCCGACCCCCAGCCACGCACTGGCCTGGGCAGCCATGCCTGGGTGCGGTCAGCCAGCCAGTCCCTCCCTCCTGGAAACTGCAAACACCTGGGGAATGGGGCAACCCACCGGCCGGCCGCTTCCAGAACCTTCTCTGTGCCCCTGTCCCCACACCCGCTCCCGCACCCCCTCCGCACCTTGCGCGCTTTGCTGAGCTCCTGGACAATGATGCGCACGGCCACGGCCACCAGTGTGTTGACGCTCACGTTCAGCAGCACCACCAGCAGGGCCGAGGGACGTGACAGCACGTTCCAGTCGGCGTCTGGGGGGCAGGGCAGGGTCACAGCGCGGCCCACCCGCCCACCACGTACTCACCCACCATCACGGTGGGCTCTCCCTGTCTCCACCTGCGTACACACACACACACACACACACACACACACACACACACAGACACCCCTGCAGGCTGGGTGGGCGCTCACACAGGAACGGGAAGGTGACCGGCGAGATCCGGAAGAGCAGGTAGCTCTGGGTGGCATAGGTCAGCAGGGCGTAGGCACTGAGGCTCAGGACCACTGTCAGCAGGCTCAGCACCGTCCAGTACTTAGTAATCAACATGACCTAGAGCCACAGGTTGGCGTTTGCCGGGGGCAGGTGGGCCCCCCCTACCACCACCACCAGATGAGCTCCGCCCACTCCCGCAGCCCACTGCCCCACCTCCACGGTGATGGAGAGCAACCCCGACAGGGCCACCAGGACCGCGAAGGA